TTGGCTGGGTTGGATAATGTATTTAGAAAATGTTAGCTTTCAATATATCCCGCTTTAAAATTAAATAAATATGTCATAAAATGCCATACAGCTTTTGCTCTTTCTTTTAGTTTTTTAATTCAGTGCTGCCTGGGTTAAATGAAACGCCTGGATCTGATTTCTGTGCATTGCATTTTTAGTGTAGGGACGTTACTTTTGTAGGAAGGAAGGCTGTGCATTTTATTCAGATTTTTTAATGATTTTATTTTCCCAGATCACTATTTTTTTTAAACTGCGTGCATTGAACAAGGATGCTAAATTAAAAAGCAAACAAAGGAAACAACAAAAGCTTTGGTTATATCATTTTAGAAATTATCTCTTTAAAGTTGATATTTTTATTGTGGGACATCTCAGAGAATTTAATATTTGACGTTTGCTGGCAATGTCCAGGCTGTATGTAGTATGTAGGTTTCCTACAACTTATCTGACCCCCAACCCCCTTTTTTTTTCTTTCCTACGCACATCGTCATTTCTTGAGGCTGATTTTGTAAACAAATTCCTAAAGATAAAATGCACACACACAAGAAGGTGTGATTATTTTGACAGAGCAGACTTACTGGTTCATGGGGAGAAAAACCAGCATAAATGACTTTCTTTTTGAACAAAATGTTCGATTGTAATGGTAAACAATGTTGTCTTTGGGCGTGTGAATGAAAAATACTGCAAACCATATCATAAACAAAGAATGCTGAAGCCATCAAGTCATCAGCGGCTGCCACCACCCCCCAACCCCAGTGAGGACAGGCCTGCAGCCCGGCCTCTGCAGCCACTCACAGTGGGGCACCCTGAGGGGACGCAGAACAAGAAAGGACAGGATGCTGGCCCTAGATAGGTAGGTGCTTGTCAAAGGAATGAATTCAATGAGCCCAAATGCTCACTTCCTCCCATACATAGAAAAGCACCAAATTCTTTAACTTGAGATGCCTGGTTTTCTTTAGTTAACAAGGAATCCTTTAATGTTCCAACTACCTGGTCTTTGTTGTAAAGCTCCTGTATATCCTAGCTCCTCCCCTACCTCTTCGGAGCGGTCCCTCAGAGCGATCTGAGAGGCTGTCATCCCGGGCTCGAAGGGGGGTTCGAGTCCTCAGAAATGTCCCCCAAATAAAGCATAACTCTCAACTTTTAGGCTGTGCATGTATTTCAGTCGGCAGGCAAAATGATCAAAGTAGCTGTTTTTGTGTCCCCTAAGTGACAGTAGATACTGCTTTTAGTTACAGACCCTGTGATATCATGTAATTAACTACTTAACACCAGAACTGGTTATTATTTAGATTTTGCCCTTTTATACTTTCTTGTTATAAATGGTTTCATGTACTTATAGATGTATATATTAAAGAGGTGAACTTATGTTCATTAATAAAGGCATTAAACTTTCATCATTTTGTTGTCCTAGGTTCCTAAAATGATTAAAGATAATTACTTTTAGTGGTGTAACTATAGTTTGTGAAGTCCATCATTAAAATGTAGTTCAGATAATTCAGATAATTTTTAAGTACACTTGGAAATAAAATTGTCTCTAAAGAAGGATACACTACTTTGCATTTTGAAATTTAATTTTATAGCCACAGTTATCAGAACAACATTCAGGTCAAATAGAAGAATTAAATGGAGAGAATATTCCACTTTTGCGTGAAGTGTCTACTCCCAAACTACCTCCTACACAAATTTGGATTGAACGTGGTCACTGAACGTGACCAGGGTTACTGAAAGACCAAAATAATATGCTACTCCCAAAATATGATTAAAAAAAAACACTCAGTATTGTGTATTTTCAGAGAGCATCTTTAATATAAATATATAGTTCATTTTTATTTCAAGGTATCATTATAAGGGATTTCGGTTTTGCTAAATGGAATGTAGGTATAATTCACTTTCTCTCTAATAGAAATGGACCCGTTAGTGCAGTAGAACATAATGAGACAGCTACCTCTAAATTGGTGACCTCTTTCAGTTTTTAATTTGTCTTTAGCTATTGGCTGAATGGGGAATCATCTCCCAGTGTTCTCTGTGTTGGTGTAGAAGCATTGTGATGACATTTTTAAGGTTGTATAAGAGGGTTGATCCTGGGATGCAGAAAGTGGGCATCTCAGATGCACACATCTATGTGGGTGTTGGCTTCCTCAGTTCTGTGCACTGTCCATTTTGATTCTGAGGAAATAGGGATGAGGTGGGGTTGAGGAAAGTTTGACTTAACTGGGCTGGAGGACTTGGCAGTATCAATAGAGAAGAATCCTGTACTGTGCCCTATGCTCTTTCACACTGTTACCCTATGGCAGATTCAGGCTAAAAAAAAGAGGCTGTAATTTTAAATTAATTTTAATATTTGGATTAAGATGCTGAACTGAATTTAGGAATGAGCTTAGATTATGTATTGAGACATGAAAAGATTATAGAATTTCCTAGAAACAACTCAAATGTTCATCAGCTGACAGATGGATAAACACATTGGGGTATATCCATACAAAGGAATACTACTCAGCAATAAAAACGATTGAGTTACTGATACATGCAACAACACAGGTGAACTGTAAATGCATTATACTGCATGAAAGATGCCAGACACAAAAGGTCACATCTATTTGTATGAACTTTGACCAAAGGGAAAAGTATAGTAACAGAAAACAGGATTTCAGAGGCTGGGACAGGAGGTGGGGATTGACCACAGAGGGGCAGGAGGGAACTTTCTGGGTAATGGAAATGTTCTTTGTGATACTTATTAAGACTGTATCTATCTGTCAAATCTCATCAAATTGTATGCTTAACATTGGTGAATTTTATTGCATGTAAATGATACTTGAATAAAACTGGTTAAGAAGAAAGTATAGTAGAATTTACTAGTGGGGAGAGGGGATCCTAATTTGTTAATACCTCGAAGTGACCAGAAGAATCATAGGATGGCTAAGCTTCCTCCAGAATCTAGGGTTAAACATCAGATTAAAAAATTTTTAAGTGATGATGGAAGATAAAGTGAGGACCCATGAGTTCCTCTGGATCATAACTGTTTAATATATACACCACCTAGCCTAGTGCTTACCACATGGAAGGCACTTAATCCCTGCTGAGGGCTGTTGCTTTTATTGTGGACGCTGTTGGTGCTATTATTTAGACAAATGCATGACGAGTGTCTAGACAAGCTTACAGGAGTTGTGAATGTACAGGAGACAGAACCTTTCTCCTGCCTACCAGTGAAAAGTGCCTATGAGTTAACTAATTCTGATGATTCGAAATACACAAAAGGAGGTGGACTTTATCAATGACTGGTTTAGGCAAATTAATGAACTATTCTGTATCACAGAAGCTGAATATTCGAGCATCATTTCACAGACACATTCTGAGCTTTTTCCTTTGTGTCAAATCATTTCTGAGCTCAACCCATTGTGAGGACTCCCATGAGAACTTCGTATCTGATGAGAATTAAGAGTTCTGAAATTTGCAGGCATTCAACAGAAGCGATGGCTGTATATAGAACAGTGGAATCATTCTGAAATGTATTTTGGCCACGTGAGAAATTGGAAGTGTGCCAACCAGGACTATATATAGGAGTATGAGGGTCATGTTAACCTTGATTGTCCCATGTGTGCAAAAGAAAAAATATAAGTCAACATTTATTGACTTCATAATGTGCCCAGCATTGTACTGTGTTAAGTAATTTCAAGAATTACTGTGTGTAAATTTCATCACGACCCTGAGATAGACACAGAGGAGCAAAGAGGTTGCACAAGCAGATCGAAATTTTTATCTGACTCTAGCAGTTGCGAACCACAGATGTGGACCCTAGGACAAAGCTTGGTGAGGAGATGTTAAATTTTATCAGAGCTGGACTGCTGACACTATATTTTTGGTGTCCCTTGTCCTGTTCCGAGAATGGGATGAAGAGAGATTACTGACATCTCTGAACCTCTGAACCTCATCTCTGAATCCAAATTCTGAACCTCCAGCAGTAAGTCCATACGATACCAGTATATTTACGTGGTCAGTGAATGATTGTGGAAAGAATGGATAGCTCCATGTGTTTGAATTCTTAGAAAGCAGGGTTTGCATACAGGTAACCCTTGCCTTTCGAAAGTTCTCTTTATGCTACTTCACTTTTACCAAACATTAGTACCTGTTTTCACTAACCCAAGGTGATCCGGAGAGGATTTTCATTTTCATAAAAAAAAAAAAAAACGGCCAACAGCAAAAAATGGAGTTGTTCAGCCTTCGTTTCGCAGCTGCCCATATAAAGGCAGCGTGAACTCTGAGCAGCAAGGTTGGCATCACCAAGCTCTGTCCCGTCTCCAGGGAGCTGCACTGAGCATCTCAGCATCCGGCCGCCCTGGCTTTGACTGTGTCTGCGACTATCTCTGCTTTATCTCGATTTACTTGGTACGGCCCATAGCAAGCTGTGTCCAAAGGTGGTTGCTTCTTCATTTTATGCCATTTCAGCTCATGAAACCTTTCCCAGGAAGGCTCTGCTTTCAGATAGCAGGAGGAACCTGCACTGTATTTTTAAGGTAGAAAAGATACCAAACACAGCATAAGATTAATGTTGGGTCATGGGGCATAAGTTACTTTCATAGCTGCTTGTCTGACTAAGTGTATTTTGAAGTCCATTTTGGGTGATGGTATGGACTTACCTCTGTGTAAGATTGCTGGCTTTCACAATAACTTGAGTTTTGATAAACCTTTAATTATATTGGAGGATTATCAAACTGAGACAATTGTTGGTCCTAAAGGAGAAAAACGGTTAGCAGGCAGACTCTAATGGGTACATTTATCATTTCCTTATCATACTGAGTTCCCGGCTCATTGTTGTCTATTTTCCAGGAAAGTAGAAATGCCGTTTCTTAGAATAAAAATGTTCTTTATAGTGTAAGCAGGAGATTGAAGCTGTACAGATTGGCTCTTTAATGAAATAGGCAACATTCCAATGGAACTGACAAGCTTTATTTCTATTTGTTGTATTTTTTTTCTCATTGCAGATGGACCCGATTCAGAAAGCGGTAATAAATCATACTTTCGGGGTTCCTCTTCCTCATCGAAGAAAGCAAATCATATCATGCAACATTTGCCAGTTGAGATTTAATTCTGATGTAAGTTTATCATTTAGTATTTGCTAAAAAAAATGTTATTATGCTGTTCTAACCTTGCAGAAGAGAATTCTTAAACATTTTTCTCCAATAACTGAGGGTGTCGAAATTCATGGATAACATTTTAACTCCTTGTGTGTTTTCATTTTGGAGTTTATTACATTATGTTTGATTGTTTACTCTAGAAAAACCACACCTAAGCAAGCTTGTATCCATGCAGTTTAATGCTATTTTTTTTTAATCTCTTGGGAATGCTACATTTAGATAATGCACTTTGCCTTTGGGGATGTCAAATTTAGGACCAAAGAGGCTTTTGATTAATCCCACCTCCAAAATAAGATATGTCACCAGGTTACAGTTCATGGCCAAGACTTTGGCTTTGTAAATTCTCTTTGCCTGCCTTGGCGGTCCCCAATTCCTGATCAGCTCCTGTGTCCTTAATTGTATTTGCGCTGGAGATCTCAAGTCACTCACCTAGAAGTATTAGCATTTTAACAAGGTGTTTTGAAGACCTCTGAGCACTCCAGCCCCGAGCG